TCCTCCTCCTTCCTCCTCCCCCTTCCCTTCTTCTCCGCCGCCGGCCACCGTCGCCGCCGCCGGCTTCATCATATCCGCCATGGCCTCTGTGATTTCTTCCACAAGATCCACTATCACTCCCTCCACTCCCATCAGATGTTGCATATACACCGCCTCTGCCACATTGCTGCACATTCATTCATCAGACAATTAATCGGAAACTTGAACCATTTCATCAGGCATTTTAATCTCCCACAAGGGTTCTCAAGAACATCAAAAGATTTCCCAGAAACTTGAACCAATTCGTAAGAATTAATGGCATGTTAATCCAGAGACTTACTTTAGTTTTCCATATGTCAAGAGGGAGAGTTCCGAGTCTCTGATCTTCTTGACAGTCCCAGGATTTCTGAAAATTCCTTTGACTTCGGATACTATCCCTTGCAATCCTCCTTCCATGCAAACTTTCAGAGCTTCCTCCAAAGAATTCCTCCTTACATCATGGTACARTTCGGTTCCCCCGTTTGTCAAGAAGAACACCTTCAATTAGATGCACAAATTGTGTTTTTAGCAAGCTAAATCAAAACCAATCCCCTATATTATGGGGGCATTAAGCAGCTGAAAGAAATATTAAAGCCAAAACTATGGCCAAATTAGTTTAGTTTCAACAGGAAATCAAGGAAATCTAAAGAACTCACCGGATATGTGGCCTGCAACTTTCGGACAAGCAATGCTGCATCTGGTTGGAAGGTCGAGAAAATGATGGGTCTCTCATTGGCATTCTCAAACACCACCTGTTATGGATCATCAACAAGGCAAAAGCTAAGTTTCAAATAAGAAATCAAATTAATGGTCAGAAGACACAGAGAATTCCCCCATCCCCACCTGTAATATAGCCTGAAGAACTCGGGTAAGATAACTATGATCATACACAATGTGATCGTCAAACTTCAACTCAATATTGAAGCCTAAAGAAGGCTCCACTTTCTGAAAAGCTTGTTCCAGAGTGCAGAGGGTGTCGTCTGTTTCAACATTCCAGTGGACAATTTTCCCATCTTTAGTTTTCCTAAGCAAGCAATTTCCTTCCTTCTGAGGGTCTTGTTGAGGACCATAGACAAGGAATTCCGCCAGGGATAACTCTGTGACTCTTTTCTCAAAGATAGTGCCCTGAAATCCCAGATCAGATCCATACCCACAAGGCTTAGCAAGAACAGAAACAGACTCACAATCACAAGAACATCTAACACAAATTTGTAATGAAAAAAAAAAAAAAAGAGGGATAAAGATGAGGTTACGTACGTTGTTTACAGAGAGAATAAAGTTGTCGTGAAATATGATTGGGCAGTTGTCTCTCGTCACCTACAAAAATCACCACAATTTTTTTTTCACTTTCCTGATTCAACCTCTCCTTACTTCAATTGTCCATTGAAATTAAGAAAAAAAAAAGAAAAAAGAGAAACAAAAGCAAGCATATGATCAGTATCCCTTTGTAATTTGACTATGGAAATGTAAAAATAATCGAAATCCAATGGCATACAGCAGMTCCTTCGACGGAATAAGAACAAGAACGAGAAAATTAGGGGGGAAAAAGAAAGAGAAAGAGAGAGAGATTAGAGCAGTAATTGGATAGGATTAATTTGTTGATTATTAAAATTAAAATCCTAAATCAAAGATAAGAGAAGATCGGTGGATGTCCCACAAAGTCCGAAAAAGGTAAAATACAAATCCCGGCCCCCACCCGGCGGAAGCGCGCCGCATACGACAAGATCGAAGACTAGCGGCAAGCGTGTTACCGTACAGATTCATGGCAACTCTAAACAAGAAACAAGAATCAAGAGATCGAAACCCAACCTGAACGTCGAATTCAACGAAATCGATGGGGAATTTAGCGGCGGCGTTGAACGACAAGATCGAATTCTCTTTAATGGCCCTCATTCTCCTATCTGAAGATTGCAACGCATTCATCCCGCTCCCTCTATGCCCTATCACCAAGAACTTCGAGGCTCTAAATGCATTCCGTCCCAATTCCACACCTGCCAGGCCCAACCGAAACCCCATTCCGATAAAAATCAAGATTCACCCTACGATCAAGCCAGAGAAAGCAAAGATTCGACGAAGAGCGACGAAATTACCTTTGGAGAAGCGATTTGAGTAGAGCGCCAGAGAGGCATTCTCCGGCACCTGGTCGAGGTGAGGAACGTCGGAGACATGGACGGCCTTGAGAGCCATTAAGAGAGAGAGAAAGCGAGAGCGAGAGAGAGAGAGAGGCGAAAACGAGTTGGGGGGTTTAGGCGCGAGGCCTTGGATCAGAGCTTCAGAAGATTTCGGCTATGGCGGAAGAACATGGAGAAATGAGGTATTTATGGAGAAGAAGAGGAACGTTGGTGGAAGCTGCAACGAAAACGAATCTCCTTCAAGAATATTCCTCTTTTTTTTAATTACATTATTATATGCTCATTGGATATTCCTCCTCTAAACATATAAGTTTTAAGAGTATAGCATCAAAATTATTATTTATGAACATCGAGTGATGATATGTTAGTACTCTTTAATGAGTCATAAGTTTGAATATCTTTTGTCGATGTAAACATGGTTCAATTAGTCAATACATTACTTATGTAAAATTTGGAGGTTCAAATTTCTGCTTTCATTGTTAAATATTTGTCATTATATTTGTGACGTAATATTTTAGTATTTTAGATAATATATGATTAGACTGTAATTGTTAAAAGAAAAGTATAATTGTTGGTAATTGGTTCTTATTTGTCCAAATTTGTAACTCATCTAACTAACTAAACTAGATTAGTTAAATTTTGATTAGTTTGTCTTGATGACAGAGACCAAGGATAAGTATAATATTTAATAACCAAAAAAATGTTAAATTTCAAATTTCAGTTTTAAATATTTTAGTTTAATCCTTAATATTTGGATTTTGTTTCAAATTGGTCCATGTAACTTTAAATATTTCAATTTGGTCTACTAAATCTCACAAATATACTTAAACCATAGTTCTTTCCTTATAACTCTTTTTTTCTTTACTAACCCATCATAAACTCCGACTAATATAAACTATTTACCTTAAAAACAAAAATCACGTATTCAATGTCGAGATTTGATTAAATTATAACTATCAAATTGAAACTATATATAAATTATCGAATATAAATTCATAATTAATTTCAATTAAATTACAAATTTAGTCTGCATTTAATAAATTTTTTAACTTCGTAAAACTCCATCATAATAAAAATCAAATTATTATTATTATTATTATATATATATTTATATATATCCAAAATACATTAACCAAAATTTGAATAAATTTTGAGAATTTGGTATTTTTGAGGTGGTGGATATTCATTGATTGGAGGTAGGTAGTAGAGAGAAAAAGGGTGAGGTGTTGCCACGTCGGACATGATCCGAATTCCAAACCGAACGACGGTTTTTATTTGAAAAAAAAATTCGGAAATAATAATAACGATAATAAAACGTGTACAGTACACAAAATAAATAAATAAATAAATAAAACGTGTACAGCAAGGATCCAGCGGCCACTTTCTTTATTACTATTTTTTTTTTCATTTTTGGTTTTTTGTTTGAAACTTATTATTCTCCTTCTACAATATATTATCTTTCCACGTCATAATTAAATAAAACCAACGTGGCCTCTGCTCAATTATCATTCCTCCTGCCTGTTTCTGATTCTGTCGCTGCCCTCTTTATTTCTATGATTCCAATTGGATTTTGTTTTATAGTTTTTTTTCGGTTAAAAATCACTTTTCGGCAATGCTTTGATTGAAATAGCAATTTAGCCCATGAAATATTAGTTTATAACGATTTAATCCATGTACTTTTAAATTCATAACAGTTTAGTCCTTCGACTTTARTATATAACGACTCCGTCCCTGTAGTTTAAAATTTGTAACGATTTAGTTTTTATTGTAAAAAAAATGTATTGAGATTTAATGGGATTTATTTTATGTGTAGATTGATAAAATGATAATGGACCAAATGTGTTTATAAATTATAAATCCTAAATTTTTACCTATAATATGATGAGATTTTTTTACTGTATGAATTAAATTGTAAAAAAATTTGAATTAGGATGACTAAATTATTACCCACTCAAGTTTATGGATTAAATTATTGTCAATTTGAAAGTATAAAGACTAAACCGCTATTTCAATGAAAATATAGAACCAAGAGTATTTTTTAACCTTGGTTTCTTATATTTTTTCCTCAACAACTTTGAAACGATTTGGGAACATGCGGAAGAAAATGAGCTCTTCTTTTTTTTCTAAATTATCTTCTCTACTTTGTATGAATTTTATAATGTGTTAATATATATAATATTTTTGTAATGACAATAGGAATTTTAAACTTTGTAGGTAGAAAATAGAGTGATTAGATATAAAATTACAATTAACTTCAGCATAGTTGAATAGTTAAAGTAATAAAGTAKGTTTAGATCAAAGGTTTTAATCTCCATCCCGATAATTTAAAAAATATATATATACAAAAAGAATTAGTTTATAGAGGGTGGAGCTAGAATAATTGTGATATATGTCATCGGTGATCTTGATCAATGATTGACTTTAAAAAATTAATAAAAAAAAACTAATTGATCTATTTCTACCGAGAGAATTGTTGGTAAACTACTTAAATATGAGGGAAACAATAATTTCATCCCACCCAATTMTTTCTCGGAGAGGCACTTGCCTTAACTACATGACATGCTCATTCCATCTAGCTCTTTTAAGGAAAAATATACACTTGATGATGTGTTGTCCAACGTAGCTCGAGGCACACTAAACTAGTCACATCTAGTACGTTCACCTTACTTTATAATATCGTAAGTTTCTTACCAATAGGTGACACATGTCATATGATKTGTGAAAACATCAATTAATATGGTGCTGGTAGAATGTGACGTTCCCATTTACAAAATTTTATTATTTGATTTATAGCTTCCATAAAAAGAATCTATTCTATCTACCATTTATGATCTCAAAAAAAGAAAAAAAGAGAGGAAAAAAAGGAAGAATAACTTTCGACTCGAAACAACTAGTTATATTCGTGAGTGAGTGAATTAGCTTGCACACACTAAGCCTAATTTCGTAAAACAGTTCCCTAATCGTACGAAATTACATTCTTCTCAACCCTCTAAATAAGAAGGTAAGAAGTATGATACGAAATAGAGGGCAACACAACATTAGGGTTGTCCCCTTCATTCGGGCTGGCTTTTTGAAAGAGGAGACAATTTTGAAGAATGGAAGGCAACAAACCAGCCAGCCATTGTTGTCTGCTCCAACTTCCAAGCTCACTATCTCACAGATAAAATAAAAATTTGATATTTCAGTGTGGTAATGAAGAGAAACTGCTAATTTAGCACACTAATTTCACAAATGCATTACAATTGGCTAGCTGATTCCACAAATGWAGTAGAGAAGAAAAATCAGAACTGGAGAAAAACTCACTCGTACAATAACACACACCCAAATCAACATTTACATCTGCCAAATCAAGTTCCCCCTCCCCCTCTCCCTCTCCCTCTCTCTCTCTCTCTCTCGCCTGTCCTGCATATTTGCACATAATTTTAATGTGGAAGCTGAATCGAATCACAAACCCTCAAACCTCAACAAATCCCACTTCAAACCCATAAAATTAGACTCTAAAATTCGTTTCTCTTCAAGCATTTTTCTTTTTATAACCTCTAAATCTGTTTGCAAGTTTTATCAATGATCACGTGTTTCTCGGTTGTCGACTGTCAAGTTGCCACTGCCGCTGCTCCCTGCCACGCGGTTTTCGCCAGCCCTGGCTGCCAAGGCGACGACTTCAGGCGACATGTCCCAGCTTCCGCTTTTCCTTCCCCAACTGGAACGCCTAGGATGTAATCCGCCGCGTTCTCCAGCTTCTTCCACTGCAGTCCTTATATCTGGAGATGCTTCACCAAGTTCACCTTCTTTTACATTCAACCGCTCGCTGATCTGAGGTTGCCCGTCAAACGGATCCGCTCCAGAATTCATGTCTCCCCATACTGTTTTCCTGCCCATTTCTATGTCCTCCACCCCTTTGCCTACATTCGGACTCATAAAACCGCCACTTCCTAGACGAGTGGGAGGTAAAACGGGCTCTTTCGGCACAGTTGCTCTGAAATTGTTCTTGGATGCAGGAATGCTGGAGCAAAAGATTTCCCTAAAGTTGTCCAACACTCCCTTATTATATGGGTTGGCTCTACGATCGTAACGATATCTAAAATTCTCATAGGTAGTCTGCAAAAGCAGCTCAAATTGGTCAAGAATCGGATAAAGTAATCAATTGATGAGCTCTAGAAAGTTTGTTTAGAAGTTGCAGATGATGCTCACCTGGTTTGTGCTGACAAGATATAAATGGAAGGCAGTAAGGCCACCTACGAACCACATTGAGATGAAAGTATAAATGATTAGCACGATGGAGGCTGGAGTCTTAATCATTGCTTTCCAGATGGATGTATCCTCTGCTGACATAATCCTCCTGATGTAGACCCAGCAGAATGAGAAAACGTATATGCAAAGAAGTGTTGTTGAGAAGACGAACATGAAGAAGAACCGATAGTTTCTCTGCATCAAATGTAAAATGTTGAGTCATATAAATAAGCAGAAGCAGTTCAAGAAAAAACTCACAAGCTAAACTAAATGTGAGAGACTGAGAGTAACAGATTAAAAATAGAGATCTCAACAAGACATTGACAAGATGAACCTAAAAATAAGGTTTTGAAGAAATGAACTCTTACCAGACCAATACACTGCCCAACCCAAGGACAATGATGGTCAAATCTTTCCACGCAGTTATTGCAAATTGAACAGTGTGAGCAGCGAGGAGGCCTATAAAGCATGCAAGTGTCACAATACTTGATTTTAACAGTGATTCCATTGACCTCTACTTCCTTGATACGAGGCAATCGTAATTGGGGAGTTTGTGCAGACCCAGTATCAACACTCCCTTCATAGGCTTCAGGTTCGGGTGGGTGTGCGTTCCGAGGAATTATTCCAGGATCTCTTCCTGAGGTAAGCAGCAGTAGGACTAAAATCTGAAACAAAACATATCATTATAATATCATAACCTCAATAAAACAACATATCCAGAGCAGAGCAAATACCAACAACAGTAATAGTACTTGCTATTTTTGGTTGAAGTGCCCAACACTCACCATGTTCAAAAATGTCGATTGTAATAATTACTTTAGAAACTGAGAAAATAACTCGACCATTGAACTTCAGTAGGTAAGAAGGAATGATCAAATATCATACATGCTATACAGTTCTAACATTCATCACATTTTCAGCATAAATTAATCTAAAGTTTCATTCAAGTGGCCAAACTTGTAGGAGAGTTATAGGCCGCTCTAATACTCCAGCTTACTACCCTCTCCTTATTCAGAAAATGGACATGTAAAAGCTCCATAAGATCAACAGATGGTTATCCCAATAACAAATACCACAGCCAAGATGGGCAATCTTAGTTGGACATTCCATTCAAGCTTTAAGAATTGAAAGGATTGCTAGGAGAATTTAAATCATGGAAACGATTATTTGAATTGGCAGAAAATTCTATTGTTATACTTCCTCTGTCTGAGTCAATTGAGATGTATGCCCCAAAATAAGTGTAAAATCCTCAATAATATGGAGACAGATGGTATCACAACTTATACGAAGCTATTACTTAAGCAAATAAATGTATATTGCATACAAAGTATTCCAAAATTAAATTCACATGTAATCAATATGATGCACGTCGACTGAATAGAGATTAATATTATGGTGAAACGTAGTGCTTCGCTTTTATATGGAGTTAGAAAGATGGAACTCACGAAGACTGTAAATACAACAGCAACAACCATTATCGATATTCCCCAATCACCAGAAAAGTCGTCCATCAGTTTCTTGGCAACAAATACACAGAAAATGGAAACAGGAGCAACAATAAGAAATATTGTCAGCACCAATGACCTAACATCTGGTCCAAAAATGAACCTTCCTTGGAGGAAAAAAATCTGCAGGAGAAACAGGAATGGACTATTAAATAAATCAGAACAGTATAAATGCAATTCCAATAACCCACACTGATCATTAAAATGTCAAAGAAGATGAAAAGATATGCATAGTCAATGAGTTATCTTATCACTAATCTATCATGAACGATATCTACTTCATGGTGAAAATAATGAATGCAAGTCATAGAATTAGGAAAGTAATACTTGCACTTTGTGACTACAGAAAAAGGGGACTTCCAGTCTCTTTGTTTATACGATAACAGGCTTACTTTGCAATATATATCAAACTATCCATATTTACAAGGTTGAAAGACGACTACTCCTACCTTTTCACCACATGTACTTTAGATTTATAGAAATGAGCTGATACTCAGCATACTTTCTTGCACACATACAACCACCAGAATTATGTAATTAGATGAGGAAGAAATCCCCAGAGCGGCAATTATGCAACTGGGCATGGTATGTGTTTTCAAATTGCCTTCTGTTTGCAGCTAGATTTCTTATATTCAATTCCCTTTGTATTTGCAGTTAGATTTCATCTTCGTAATTGTATTTATCATACCCAAAAGAAACAAAAAAAGAAATTAGTAACTAGGTGTGGTTCTGTAAAGTCTCTAAAAGTTAATGAAGGCAAAAGAAAGACTCAGTGTATAACTTTGAACATCCCTCAGAATTTCGCTAACAAGGAACCTATTAAGCTAAAAATAAAGCACAAAAATGAAATAAAACCACGAAATTGACGAGTAATCAAAAGGAAAAAAAGACAAAATTAGGACTTACATTGCTTCCTTTCCAAGCTTGGTAGACTCGTAAATCAGTAGAACCGCTGGAGGATCCGGAAAGCGGATCAGATCGCTGCGGTGGAGGTACCACATACATCTCTCTCTCTTCCTCTCGTTAATCTTATGAACTCTATTACAGAAATCTCCCAACTCCCTCAGCTGAATGGAGATCCTACAAATAGACTAAAAACGAACCGCGCATCAGATCAAAGAAACAAGGAGAAATAAGGAGCTGGACTACTCCCGGGGGTCCGGCAGCCGCCCCGAAGTCTCCGGCTGCCGGAAGCCGGCACATACAGAAGCAAATCGGAAAAAGCCCTTACCCGTGAGGTTTCCGGCGGGCTGAGAGGCGCTTAATCGGAGTACGGCGGAGGGGTTTGGAGATTGAAATCAAGGGTTTCTATTTCGCTCTAATTTTCTCCTGCTATGGCCTGCTTTTTGGTGGGGGAGAAGAAGCGGAGGAGAGAGAGAGAGAGGGGGGGAAAATCGTACCAAGTGATTACTTTACAGTGCGAAATGGCGACGTGGCGAATTATAATTGGATAGTGTAAAGTTAGACCGGTTGCGTTGGCGAATCGGGTTGGTTCCGGATCGGGTGGAGATGAACCGGAGCCGGAGCTAAAATTCCACCCATGTGGGGTGTCTTGAATTGAACAAGTCAGTGCTTTCAAATAACATTTCTTTTTTCCCCTTTTTCCATATGCAGCTAATAAACTTCTCCAACTGCGCCGCATTTAATATTTAATTATTAATAAAAATACTTTTTCTTTTTTCTTTTATTATTATATCTTTTTTTCGCAAAACAAACAACAATAATAATAATAATAACAACAATAATTCATACTTTTTCGCCTTTTGGACTCGTTACAATTTACATCTCCAAACTGTCTTGTTTTAGTATTTCGACTTGCAAATATTTTGTTTTAATCTCTGAATAGTAAATTTAGCGAAAAAAATATATATATTTAAATTTTTAACATTAAATTTTCATTAATATTTTGATTCTATTTCTAAAATGTTATATACGAAGCATAAATAATGGTTAATGTATTAGTAACTTTTTATCTAAGTCGATGGTTAATTTAGAGACAAAATATTAACTAAGGTAGATTTTCTTTTGTCTATGTAGTTTATGAATGGTTGTGACGAATATTTAAGTCATGTGAATGAATATATTAGTATGACGTGCCTAAATTTGAATCATAGTTAGGAAGGAGGTTCATCTATTACATTTAATTGACGTGATTTTACTCCTGGTTTGTTTTTCTAGGGTTTTATTTGTCATTTTGACGACGAATTATACATTTAGAGGATACGAAATTCTAACATCTATATCAACTATTGATATCATATCAATAGATATGTGAAAGGTGGTATTTTATCCGTAACATCTAGTATCAGAGTCTGCTATCCGACATACAATATGCTCATAGAAGATCGTACGTTTATTTGTAACATATATTTCATAGTAAAGAAACTTAACCTTAATATATATGTATTTTTTAATTACGGTAGCCAAAAAGTTGGAGGGAATACAAGTGCTTCATTTTGGTAAAAGTCAACGGTCAACAGTTCAAAGGAATGTCCATCCCATTTTAATTAATCATAATTAGTTTCAGAAACTATTAGATAACAACAAAAAATGATGTTTAACAATTATATAAATACTAGTCACTCTTCTTATTGGTTATTTTTTTAAAATTAAAATATCAACTTAGTCTTTTTTTTTTCTAATCGAAGTCAATTTAAGCCATATGACTTTGGATTATAGTTTCAGATGGTTAAATATGGTCTCTACAGTTTTACCTATATTTTATTTGTTTCTAAATACAATTGCGCAGAATTATTAAGAAATATTGTCAGCTTGAGTATAGTTTAATAGGTTAAGGTATCTATATCGACCAAATGGTCATGAGTTCATCCCCCACCTCCCATATTGTATTAAAAAAAAGTGTTAATTCATTTTGTGCTAATCTAAGCCTAATTCAATCGATCAATGTATAAATCTTCGATCAAAAGGTTGTGAGTTCGAACTTCACCCCACATATTATTCTACTTAAAAAAACTTGTCATTGTCGTGTATAAGGGTGTTCAAAAAACCTGACGAACGCAACTCAAACCGTCGATGAAGCATTGAGTTGGGTTTGGTTGTGATTTTCCAACCCCGATCGGGTTGGGTCGGGTCTCGAGTTCAACCTTTAAAAAATCGGTTCAACCCAACCTAACCCGAAGTTATGCATATATGTTTATTTTTTTAATTATATATATAATGATACTTTTATCTTCAATGTCAACCGTCCATTTAGTGTTAATCATTGCCCTTCCTTTTGTATCTTAATCTCAACGGTCCATTAAATTTTAATCCTAACTCCTCATCGCCGCCGTGATAATTAAAAACACACACACAAACCGACGACCCAAAATTGGTTGGGTTGACCATTTCATTCAACCCCGATAGTTCCTATACATGGTCAACCCGAAAATTCAGATTAGTCCCAAAACCTCTCCTAACTCGACCCAACTCAATCCGTACACACCCGTAATCTAATTCGACCCAACCCAACACATACACAGAAACAAGTCAAAGGGTAATAATTGGAGTGCTTTGTGAGATTTTTGAATTAAAACATTTAAACCATTAAAATAAATTTGAAATTATACTCGAAATCTAAACCTTTAAAATTTCAAACCAACTACCCTAAATCAATAATTTTTTTTTGTTTGCTCTTTTAATTAATTTAAACGCATTATGAAACAAACGTAAAAAATTATTTAAGACTATTGACTAACGTTTACTAAGTGGCATTTTACGAAATAATTAATTCTAAAAAATAACAAATACGGCTATGATTATATGATATGTGTAGATCAAGCACTTGATCATTAACAACTCCAAATTATTCAATTTGCCCAAGTCCAAGTTTGACGGGGGCTCCTTTTATATTATTTACTGTCTCTATTTCTTATTTTTCATTTCTTTTCCATTTTTTTTGTTAAATTATCATTGATAACCACACCTCTTCTGTGGATTCCTACAAATGGATTAAAAACAATTCTTAAATGAAATATTCAACTTCAGTGATAAATCTTAAAAGAAATGTTACTCCAAAGATAAATCTTAAAAAAAAAAATTCAGATATCCCTCGTGAATGATTTGGAAGATCCAAAACAAAAAATAAAGATATTTACTAGCCATACATATATATATATATTTTGAAAGGACTAGCAACAACATAATAATGACAAGTTCAAGTATGTTTTAATTTTAATTGATTATTAGTTGACCTTGTTTTCAATTAATATATTGACTTTCAAGGTAAATGACTTATTAAAGTTTAGCGTGTTGAATGCACACAATTATTGAATTTTCACAAAGGTAAAATTTGACTTTTCTCCAATTTCAAGCCGCCATTTCGCCAAGGCCCAAATGAAAGCCCAAACCATAACTGTGGGCTCATTGGGCTCAAGTAGGCTCCTAAAGCCCTCACTTTTTTCTTTTCTAATTTCATTTTAGCCCCCAATTTTTAAATTTATTTCATTTTACCTTTTAAATCGTGAGATTTTAAAAAATAATTATTGAACCTTAAAATTTTAAAGTGTATATTTTATTCCTGAAAGTTTAAATAATAATCATTTTAATTTTTTTTATCCTTCACTCACTTTATATCTGACAACCTAATAATTGTCTTAGTCAACTTATGTGGTCCGCTTATGTTAACTCATTAATACACGTCTTCCAAGTCATATTATCAATTTGTTAAATAGTTAATAAGAACCATTAATGATTGCGATTTTAAACTTCATCTAGATAATTGAACAATTCATATAATAAAATGAAATAATTTGAAAGTTTAAAGAATGAAAAATAATCATTTACCTTCAAAGATCAAAACAAAATAATCCAACCAAATTGTAACTTATTTATGAAACATCAATGTTTTATAATAGTGTGATAATAGAAAATAGGGGTGGAAACGTTAATGGTTATTGGCGTATACATGTTCCAATCACCGATCAATTTTGACTTTATAAGAACCAAAAAAATATACATTAAATAAATATATATATTTAAATACTATATTGGTCCCTATAATCTTAAAGTGTCTATTTTTGTCAATGTATTTTCAATTTGAATTTATATACTTTTAAAAAATTATCATTTTGATTTTGTTCATATTTATTTTTATCTCATTTATCTCGATAAAAATTTTAACATAACAATTCACTCACTAAACTATTCAAAATAAAATTAAAAATGTGTATTCGAAGATTTCTATTATATTCCTTAGTCCTAAAGTAGTGCATTAACCGGTTGGGATATCTTCGTATCTTAACGTGTGTACAATAAAATATGGAAAAGAAGAATGGTAGAGGAGGGTAAGTTTGGAAAAGTAAAAAAGGAAACTTAGAAGCCGTCATGTCGCCAGCTTTAGTGAATGGAGTGGGTGCGTGGGACGACAACTCAAAAGGGCGGCTTCGTACGTGTCAAAAGCTGCACCCTCTATGAATCCCACCCTTTCTATTTACAGTACCTCCATTTTAAATTCATTAAACATATATTTTAATACTTAATAATTGTGATTTTTTTCAATTTAATTTCGATTATTTAATATATATTTTTAAGTTTCACTATTATTTTCTTATCTTTTTCAATCTAGTCCCTCATTGTCAATGAATATTAGTTGAAGATAAATTCATGTCTAATGTTTAGTAAATTGATAGAAATTTTGAAAAGGAAAAACGTAATAGAAAACTTGAAAATTCCATCAATTTTTAAAAAATTTTATTCTTCAAATATTCTTTTAATCATTTAATTTTTCGCTAATTCACTTAAAGCATACGTCAGGTAAATTTAATATCAGTCAATTTTAAAATTTACAAATTGGGAGAGCTTAAACTGAATTTAAATTTACATCCCCACGTTGTTTATTGAACTGGTCAAATATTTGCTCCGCAAATACCTTTGAACTTCTCTTCAGACGACGTGTCGTTTTCTTTTTTAACTTTTTTTACTGAATATTGCCAATGAAAACTGTCGTCACGCCTAAAAAGACGAGGGAACGTAATCACCTGCGCGCGAAACTCGAGAAAATATGTGCTTTTACAACACGTGGCAACTCGGCGTTGTTCTGGTCAACATCCAATGGCCATGATTCTCCGACAGTATCCAACAGCAGCGAAAATTTGACGCAGAGGATAATTTCCAGACAAAAAGGAGCGGCGGTATCGGTGTTTGAAGGCGTGGTTTGGCCCACGCTCTGTCCAATGCGTGACGGTCACTTTCAATCCCCATCGTCCAAGGATATCCGATTTAAAAATCAGCTTGGTCTTTGTAGGCTAAAAAATTTATCGCTAATTTAAACATATTTTAAAAAATTAAAGTATATATCTTCGATCAAAATATTGTAAATTTAAATCCCTGCTACTATACGTCATTTCAACACAATATTTTACTTGATAAATTTTTTAAAAATTTAAC